GAGAGAGAGAGAGGTCTCCCATGTGGAAGACCACAGCAACCAACCAGAGAGGCGTCGGAGAACTCGGTCAAAGAGACAAACCTGTCACCAATCCATGACCAGAGATGCTAAAAATAAAGAATACTGTACTCAAGCAAAAAAGAAGAGAGAGAGAGAGAGAGAGAGAGAGAGAAAGTAAGGGAAAGCTGTTCCTAGATCTCACGCTTCACTCACCTCCCATGCCCACAAAGAAAGAGATGCCAAAAGCTCATCATATGCTAGTGTGCCATCACCACCACAGGAGTACAGCCTTCACCTTTTGTTTGAATCCAGTACTGGTTGCACTCTGACCATCCATTCTATAAACACTCCTCTCCTCCTCCTCCTCCTCCTCCTCTGCCGTCCACTTCTCTCTGAAATGCTTCTCTTGTATGCTCTTTGTTCTAAACAAGAGTACGAAGAGACTGCTGCTTCTGTGTGTGTGTTTGTGTGTGTCTGGTTGTGTTAACGCGTGATACAGAGCCGGGCGTGCATGAAGAGAAAGATCGTACAAGTACAGTAGATGGGGTTGAAGTCCCTCAGTCTGCAGGTGATCCCGTGGTGCTTCCACGTGGTGGGCGGGACGTGGCGGCCGGCGGCCGCCAGGCGAACTAACCCGGCCCCGCCGTCGCAAGCGGGGGCGGGTGTCCGGCTCATCGGCTGCGACGGGCGGGTCAGGGTGTACCACCGGCCGGTGGCGGCCGCGGAGCTCATGAGGGAGCATCCCTCCCACCTCGTCTGCCGCTCCGACGCCTTCTTCATCGGACAGAAGGTCCCGCCGCTGGCGGCCGGCGACCAGCTCCAGCCGGGCCAGTCCTACTTCCTCCTCCCTTCCCACTTCTTCCGCTCCGTCCTCTCCTTCGTCACCCTCGCCACCTCCCTCGTCACCCCCACCGCCGGCGGCGCCAGAAAGAGCGCCCTCAGGCCGTTCGACATCCACAAGACGGCCACCGGGACGCTTCAGATAAGGGTCTCCGATGAGTTCCTAATCGAGGGAGTCCGAGAGGAAGAGAGCTGTACTGTTATCAGCAGAGTCGTGACCACAGAGGCATTGGAGAAGGAGTACAAGCTGTTGATGAGGTGCAAGTCCAAGCAGTGGAGGCCGAAGCTGGAGACCATAACGGAGTCGGAGAGGAGGAGTAGAGGGGTGGGACTATTTGGTGTCTTCAAGAGCAGGAGGAAGAAGAAGAACAAGAACGGGAGCCAATGAATTTGGTATCACATGCAGCTCCATTAAACTCTTCAGCATTTGTAGAAAGCAAGACAGAAAAGTAGTCGCAGGAACAGATGGAGGGCTCTCTTCCTTCTTCTTGTCACTGCTCCAAGTCTTCACCTCTTTTAGTTTGCTTCTCCTTTTGATCCAAAAGTTTTGTCTCGTACAGTGTAAAGATGACTGTATTCTTACTGGGTATTAGGATATAAATAATTTAAATCTCTTGTTTATGGCATGCGTTAGCTTTTTACTGATTATTATTTAGATCAATCAATGACATAGTTATATGTCTGACTTCAACTCAATCCTTCGGCACCTCTCACTGTGCGGTAGATCCTGGATTAGATTGCTTTCAGTGAGGAGAATAATGGCTCAACTCATGCTCTTTCTTTCAGTGTCAGAAGCGCCCAGTTCATGAGTTCTGATACTTGCAGCACGGGCATCACATCAGCTTGATGTATTTCGTCAGCCGGGTGGAGGAGATGTCAGCCCACAGCTCACTCACCGAAGCCACCACTGCCATTGCTCCTTGGCGAGAGCAGAGCAGTCGCCATGACGAACTCATTTGAACACTATAAACGACAAAATAAAGGTCAAACTCCTGTGCAGCCGTCTCTGCTGGGTCATTCATTCCTCTTGCTCTTGGCATTGTTTCGCAAGCTCAGCGTAATTAAGTTGAGCTAAAACATCAGAAAAGCTCAGACTAAGGGAATTCTATAGTGTTCTGAAACTTCTCATTGGTATATATTTATTATGTTGGCCTAATCTAAGTGTTTTCCTCGAAAGCTTTGATGAATCCAAACTGTCTATTGATCATCAAAGACGCAAGAACAGACTTAATTTGGTAATTTGGTTTGGGATTATGGACCCTTTGTACTCACTCCATCACGAGTGACCAAGGACACTTTTAATCTTGAATATTGCCCATAGTTTTAACGGAGCTCTTAATATGAGGTCATTGAGGGATGGATAGAGAAGGATCAGAACACTGCACAAGATATATTGATACTAAGAATTTTGTTAGTACATGTTAATTATTTTACATTTTCTGTCTAATTAAAATATGATTAATTATATATTATTTTTTATAATTAGTTAGTTTTAGTATTCTAGTTTTTATACTTTAAAAATTATATTAGAATCCATATACTTATGAATGTGAAACATTTAATCTTGTTTTTTTTTTAAATTTACTAAAGAAAATATTATAAGGTATATCACTGAACACATGCTGATTCGGTCTTATTTTAATTTAGCATTGAACATGTATAATATTTTTATCAATAAAATTGACGATGTGAGAAAAATAAGTTTAAATATTTTATTTTTATAAATATAAATATCTCAATATATCTTTCAAAAGTTTAAGGGTTATAACTAGGGAGATAATATATAATTAGTCTATCAAAATGTAACTTATGTAGTGTGAGGTTTGACAATTATGACTTATGATCATATAATTATAAATGATCACACCATTGAAAAAGGTAAAAAGGCATCAAACTTGTGGATCCATCTATCATTAAAAACATATGAACAACATCATAATGCATGATTAAAAGCATAATGACTATATTGCAAGAGTATCTATCATAATTTTTTTTATCCAAAATCCTATTTTATGTCTAGGAATGAAATTGAAGATGGTGGTGGAAACTGATTTGTAATGAGAATCATATTCTAATTTTTACAATAACTTAAAAAAATCTCAGCAGAGAAATTATTATTGTCTATTACACATCTTTTTCTCAAACAGGTATCATTTGCATCCTTAAGAGTTATCATATCAGTGAAACATATTGAGTTAAAAAATAAAATAAAAATCTACCTACTTGACTTGGTCTAAGTCTGGGCTGAATCATGAACACAATTAATAATTTAAATATATCTCAATCAAATGGTAATTGATTTAAGTTAATTAAGATTTATGTCATGAAGGCATATTATAATTACACCCTCCCCTCCACTTCTAATAAATCCTAATGGATTCTCAAGGACTCTCACTCATTGTCTTCTTCTTCTTTTGATCCAATAGCCTTTAGTATTTCATAGCACCAATGATTCAAATCTCTCTTCATGAAAAGAAAAAACAACACACATGACTGACCGGATGTTCTTTGGCACATCACAAAGTCAGAGTTCATTTTGTATGGAGTTTGTTTTGTTTCCATGAGCTCGGCGACAACAATGACAGAGCATATGTCAAAAGCGAAGGCTTTAGAAACCAACAAACATGTCGGTCACTCATGTCAGATTCCATCCAGCAGAGTTGTCTCAGGAAGTCGTCAAGAAATTGAATTGCTACACTTCGTCCAGTTTCTTGTACTTACCTCAATGAGTAAAACTACTATGTATTCAGCTTCAGAACCACCGAGCAATGATTGAGCAAACGCTGTTGCAAGAAAAGATTGGTGTTTCCACGAGATTATATTCTGATGTTGAGGATATGATGATATGATGCTACAATATATACAGCAAGATAAAAGCTGGAATCGTGTCTTCTATTTTCCACAGCTTTGATGGGTGATCGTTGCAGTAAAGGCCCTGACACCGAATCCATCATCTTTGCATGTATTCTGGATCGTGTTCATGGCAAATGGGTGCGAGTTGCAGAAATAAATGAGCTTTTACTTCCGAAATATTTCTTGACATCATGATCACACTCCATGGCCAAAGCAAAAGAATCGATCGGTGCGTGTACACTGTACTGGTCCCTATCTTGTTTGTGATAAGCTAACAATGACTGCACAGTGTGAAGTGGGGTTAGGAGGGCGTGGGAATGCCTCCTCGGTGCAGCCCCCAATGGCCACTGCCCTACTGCCCATCACCACCAAGCAAAAGGTGTTCTCCCCCAAAGCCATCAGCTGATGGCATTTTGTGCCATGTCGTCGCATGATCGGTAGAGGCCCTGCTTGACATTACACTCATACATCTCATCCTTGTTATGCTAAAACACAACAGGTTCGGTCGCCGAAAACGGAATGTTTTGGATCTACACAACAATGAAAATATCATATTAGTTTGGCTCTCATATCTAATCCTCCACTCTTCGGCGGCCATGTGCTTCGATGGAATTCTGACTCAGAGCTTGAGGCTAGTCTAGTTATAATGAACACGAACAGGAAATATATTCCCGATCTTTATTTTCAGTTTGTTCTTGCCAAATGATCGGTGCTTTGTGCCGGAAGACAAAGTCGCAAGCATTTAGTTGAACTGATGCTTTATGAAAAGGCAACGCAATGTTCCTTCACAGTCAAAGTTCTTTCTCGGGGAAACAAATTTTAAGTCGTGGTGAAGCTTCCAAGCTGATGACGGACGTTTCTCTTTGTGCCTAAGCTGATGACAAAGATGCAGTTTTGACGAATAAAGTGGCGTTAGATTTGTATGATCAAAAGGCCTAAATGAATGAACAGTAGCAAATCGACATCATGTTCTTCCTAACCCACATCTTTGTGCCAAGTTGACGATAGAAGTGGAGTCTTCACTAAAAAGTAGGATTGGAATTGTGTGATCATGGCGCTTAAAAGAATGGATTAGATGTTTGCCTTCTCTGCAGATGCATTTCCCCTCCTGCCCACATCTCTGGGCACCGAGATTGACAGAAGCCGTACCGTAAGGTGATCGAGATGTCATTTTGGCAATATGAAGATCACAAGCGAAACAGAGAGCTTCTGAACTAGAGATTCCAGAGAAACAGCGGACCAGTTCTGGAATTCCACGAGCAGCTCGATGGCGCCGGGACAGCTGGCGATGGCATAGAAAAATTGGATTTTTACGGCGAATCGAAGGTTGGCGAGAGGTTCGAGGATGGGAATCGGCCCCCACTCGTGTGCTCTCTTGCTCTCCCGGCCTCTCTGCCTTTCCCTTTCATGAATCGTCTTTAAGAAGCGTTCTCCACCTCCCCTGTCATCGTCCGCTGTGCTGTAGCCGAAGAAGGAAACAAAAGGCGACCCCTGGAAAGAAAGGAATCGGGGGAGATATGGGAATGTCGGTTCCCGTGTCTCTTTGATGCGAATCGTAGGTTTCCCGATCTAAATAAAGATGCCATCTTTGATTGTTCTCTAGGTTTTCGGAGGAGCTGGAGACCTCCCTTCTCCGTCCATTGCGCTGTGTGATCTTTGAAATCGTTTAGCATTTATAGTTCCTTTTATCATTCGTTCAAGAAGATATAGAAATCCCTCTACAAGGAAATAAAGTTGGGCTATTCACGGTTGACGTAAGATCTTCTCCTTGTTTTTAGTTAGGGCAATCTAGGGTTTCAGCACGCATCCAGGTTCTGGGGAACAATTTAACCCCAAGCCTCAATCTTTAGCATCTTCATTGCAGGTCTGTTCACTGCTCATGATTCTATTTTGCGATTTTTGGGAAGGTTAAAAGAATCCATTTTCCACCACTGAAATCTATGAATAATTGGTGGGGCTTTACTATTCACTTTGCTTCTCTCCATTTCCACCCACTGAAGTCTCTGAGTTCTTTTGTTGGATTGCCTTAGTGGTTGTGTAGTTCCATTTCTGATATGCCATACATTTGGTGAGACATATCATTTTGTCGAGTAGAGATTGCCTTGCCTTGACAAGTCCCGACTCTATCCTCTTCCTCTTCGTTTCTTTTGCCGTAAAGCACTTTGGTGTTCTTAATTTTGATCTCTTCTCAATTAGGAGATTGTAAGGAACTTGAGTTTTTTGGGTGTGTTTTCTGGGAGGAGTAGAGAAGACAACTGCAGAATGCCGAGGCATGATTCAGGTGTGAACGAACTCCTGGAAGGACATGGCGGTATCCAAAAGCGATTCTCTTCTTCACCTTCATCGACATCTTATATGTCGAAGAATTACCGCTTTAAGAGAACAGTTTTGGTTGGGAAGAGGAAAGGATCAACCACGCCAGTTCCCTTGTGGAGAATGAATGCTAGATCACCATGCTCGGCTGCAAGCTTTTCTGAAACATCTCTGCACCAGCCATCCAAAGGCGGTGCCAAAGAATCCCAAACATCAGTATCAGCTCGGAAGCTAGCCAATGCTCTTTGGGAACTGAACCATACACCTTCACCAGAAATTATCAGGGATCGACATGAGAGAAAATTGCCAATGGATATCATGAGAAAAGACAGGACATCTGGGTCTTTCGGGGCTGGTTCTCTGTCTTATCATTTATCCAACCGATTACACAGCCCTATCTCAGAAGTGAGTATATGAATCCTCCATTTTTGTGTCAGCTTATAGGTAGTTATCTTTATCCATCCTTTTGTTGATCTCCACAATTTGCTGGTTATCTTGCAGCTATGTAATCGACCTCGATCAAGTAGTCACAGGAAGATGTTGCCACCGGTTCATCAGAAGTTTCACTGTAAGGAGCACAATCATGTAATTTCCGATTTGCTGAGCAAGGTCGACTTAATGGAGGTAACAGCTCTTATCAGTGCCTTTTCTTATCGAGAGAAATCTGTAGCAATCGGTTGTTTCTGTCTGGTTCTGTTGATTGTTAGCACTACTATTTTTCTTGTGATTGCTAAACAACCTATAGGACAATATGCATGTAATATTTATTATGTACTTTGATGTTTGAGACATACTGACTTTTGCTTTTATCCAGAAATTGAATATCTCATTTCACATCAATCTATTTTTGTTTCTTCAAATGATTTCCGAAGACCGAAAAATAATATTATTATCTTCTATTAAAATGTAACATAGGTAACAAAAATCTTGGTATTGAAGCTAAACACACTAAAATTGGTAAGCCGCTGACTTGTAAGCCTTTTTGGGGGAGCAGATTGGTACTCCATGAAAGTAAGAAGAATTCAAGGAACCATATTTTGAAGGCTCTATTGATCTGCCAATGCCAAGATTTTAGGACCAAAACTGCATTCTGTGTTCCTAAAAGACATCGAGAACTATTCCTCCCATCCATTTTTCATCGCAACTCTCACTACAAGTTGACATCTCATGTATAGGTGACCAGGCCTCGAATATGAAGTGTTTGCTAAGCTGCTGTATGCACAGTTTCTGCACAACTTGGTAATCAGAAACTAATTTTCTTAGGCATGTAGATGGGTATACTATTTGGATGTGTAAAAGCTTTTACTTGATAATGGTGACAAAATATGATGCTTATTAGTTTACTCTAAGCCATATAATGGATTAGTAAAATAATTAATGGATCGGTGTAGTATAATATTATCTCTCAAACTCTATTGTTGAATTCTAGTCAAGGAGAATATAGACAAAAAGAAGTATTGCCGCAAAGATCCGTAAGGGTGTTTAGTCTGAGTCAAATCAGTAGATGATCTGTAATGGATTGGGAAAATAATTAATCGATCGGTGTAATGTAATCTTATCTCTCAAAATATTGTTGAGTTTCTAGCCAAGGAAAATATAGAAAAAAGAAGTATTGCCATAAAACGTAAAATGCCACTTGGCTGGTGGGCAAATTCACATATATTGTTGTTGTTTAAGCTTATTTTACCGAAGAGCAACCTTTCAATAAATTAATACAGAAAACAGCATAACATCTAGAAGGAATAAATGTTGAAGATAACACATCCCCACAAGTTACAAGTCCATGAAAAAGAAAAAAAAAGAGAACTATTTATAATGATTTTATTGTCTTCTTGAGTAACTCGTCTCTAAAAGACACTTGAAAATGTTATTCTATTTACAACTCTCTTTTCCTCCTTTTGCCCCAATTCCAATTAATTGGCATGTTGTCATTTATTGCAGTCTGAAGCATGTTTTCAAGGCCTGGTTCCAAGAAGCTCACTTGGAGGAAGAAAGAATTATTTGAAGGAGTTGCAAAATGGCTTGGTGACATCAAAAGAGCTTTTAAAAATATTGGTCCATTTCTGTGGAATAGGAAAGCAGCAACCATCTGCAGTTTCTCTTGCTACAGCCCTTTACTGTCAGCTCGATCGGGCCCTTGTGCAGGTTAATCAGCTTATCCAAGAAAAAAGATCTGATCACACTGGAATTAGATACATCATGAAGCAGTTAGTGGAAGAAAAGGAAGCTTGGCAGAACAAGAAACGGGAAGGAACAAAAGCTTCTCTTCGATCCATGATTGAGGAGCTTGAGACAGAAAGAAAATTGAGAAGAAGAGCTGAGAGAATCAGCAAGAAACTCGAAGTCGAGTTATCCCAATTGAAGAATTCACTGGTGGATGCAGGTAAAGAGCTCGAGAACGAAAGGAGAACAAGAGAAATAATTGAACAAGTTTGTAGTGAAATGATAAGGGGAATTGGTGAGGACAAGGCTGAAGTAGAAGAACTGAAGAGAGAATCTGCCAAGGTACGAGAAGAGCTGGAGAAGGAGAGAGAAATGCTCCAGCTTGCTGATGAATGGCGCGAGGAAAGAGTTCAGATGAAGCTCTCTGAAGCCAAATGCCAATTTGAGGAGAAAAATGCAGCTGTTGACCAACTGAGGCACGAGCTCGAAGCATTTCTAGCAGCTAAAAGAACAGAAGTTGTAAGTACACAACAGAGTGTCGCTGATGGCCAGGACAGTGATCGCCAAATGCAAGTGGTTCATCCAAGCAGAAGCAGCAAGTTGACTAATCTAACTGTGGATGGAAGAGACACCAGTGGAGAAAAGGATCAAGAAGAGAACGATGGGACAGACTCAGAAGATAGTGATTTGCATTCAATTGAACTCAATATTAACAATGGCTACAGTTGGAGCCATGCCTCTGGAGTGACCGAAGATGAAAGGAAAGTAGCTTTAGCTAAAGAACATGTATCCTGTGGTGAATTTTCTTCCGACAGAGACATGACCAAAGGAAACTTTGCAAGGAACTTCCAGCATATGGATGACAATTTGGATGGAGGAAGACCAGTTGGCGACAGCAGTCTCATAGATGAGGCCCAGATGCTGGACCAAATTGGGGATCGATACTTATCAGCAGAAGAATTGAGAGATCAAACTTCAGCAGGTTCTAGAATTTTTCTTCCCCATGGGCTATTGAACTCAACAAGACAATGCATCAGACAACAAGCTTCACACAGCATAGGCGACCAGGCTTGTGTAGGATCAAAAGTTGCTGAGGTGGTGAAAGCAATTAGGGAGAGTGAATCAAAGGCAAGTTTGGTGAGGAAGAACAAGATTCGCTCCCAGTTGCAGATGGCTACCATTCAATAGTCTTTTCCGACGAAGATTTTCTTTTTCAATGTCAATTCCATCAAGAACAACAGCATCACAGATATGAGAATTTTCTTTTTCCAAGTCAAGTCCATCAAGAACAACAGCATCACAGATGTGAGAATTTACTTTGTATATCTGAACTGTGGGGTGTAATGGTAAGGCAAGCATGAAAGCAGCTATCTTGTATCGAACTTGAGGTTGGACTTTCCCATTGTATTGATCAAATGATTACTTTCCAAATTGCCTCTTATGCACCATTGTGGAGCAGAGGATTGCGTTGTTGTGATGCTTAGCAGAATGAACGCTTTTTTCACCTGGATCTTGTGGCAGATAACCTTTCATTAGGAACTTGAAGGCACTGTTTGTAATATCTTATTTTTAATTCCAGAAATACCATATATGTGCGGCTCGAATAGAATGTCACAATTTACTTATGATGACCAACAATGCAATGGAAAAGTAAGTAAATTTAAAACATATTTAATTTGCTAAACAAAATGATATGATCTCTCCTATGTACACACGAAATATATATATATATATATATATATATATATATATATATATATATATAT